GATTGTATACTATTCCAGGTGAGTTTGTTCCGATTTCGTTTGTTAATTCTAATACTAATGAGTGCATTCTAGATACTACAAAGTTTTTATCCAATACAATGCCGGACAGACTCAGGATGAACTTAAGAAGAAGACGTACAACCGATTACAGACACTTATACTCCTATTTAAGCTGTGGCGGATGTGGTGTTTGAATTAACTAATAATTCTTTTGTACTTGCTGAATGCTCGATTTCAAATTCCAAATACAGCACATGCGTTTGTGTTTATGTCTTACTTCTTAATTCAATTGCGTTATTTCTGGGACTCTCAGTTCGTACTATAATTCAAATAATTCGAAACATTATTAGTATCCATTTGAATTTTATAAAGGTCCTACCAAATCCAGATGCATATGGTCGAAACGGGCATCAGAAGTTTTGAAAGAGCCTAAGGGACATTTGTTGAGTTTAATAACCTTGAATTTCTGGCAACTTACACAGGAACGTGCCCACTCCTTCACGTCTTTATTCATACCAGGCCAGAAAAACCGTTCTACTATAAGCTTGATTGTTGCACGAACACCTGGATGAGAAATTTTTTGCAACGTATTGAAGGCATTGCGTCGACGATCTTTCGGCACGACTAGACTATCCCTACCTGTAGATGTGTCACAAAGTAAGGTTTCCTTACCTGTTCCCATCTGTTTTATGCCTAGCTTGAGGGTTGTAGACTATAACATATGGTCAGCATTCATTGTCGAAAACTTACAAAGCTACTTATTTTGGGGATTTAACTACCGCTACACGCTCTTCATAGTGAACTCAAAACATATCTTTACGACAACTGGAGCGGTAAATAAATCTCCAAAGTAAATACATCACATGTTTTCAACATTAGCGCTGGCCACATTAGTTTTACATTATACACCCCTAGCTGAAAGCGCTCCATTGCGTATCTGCATCAGATCGTGCTTAGGCATATAGCACTGCACATGTGTCGCGACAACCAGTCAACTTGGGTTGCATTGATGATGTCACAGGTATTCAGTGTTTGACAACGCTTTTACCAGTAACACCTAATATAATTCGTTCCCACCCAGAGAAATCAAAAGACAGAGTCGAGGAGATCGGAAAAGTATATTTGGCGATGACCAATATATCGGAATTTTCTGATCTAATCTGGCTAGCGATTGCGGTTGATGTTGAACACGGCGTTACCACACGTGATCTGGTGCGGATGCATGACCGAGCGCCTTCAGCTAGATGAGTCCACTTAAACATATGGTCAGTATCCAATGTCGAAAACTTAGAGCTATTTATTTTGGGGATTTATTTACCGCTACAGCATGTACATCGACACATTGATCACTATCCAAATATATCTTTAGATCTAAATTTCCGTGACATCCTCACAACAAGATTCTTACTTGTAGTGATTTGTGATCGGATTTACTTCATTTGCAATTCTGGAAAGACGAAAATAACGAGACGTGCTTAGACTACGACTACTTGTAACAGTTTCACTTATTTATAAGTAGACTAATCATTTTACAAATCTCATCCAAAATGCCAAACATCTACGATAGTACAAGCGCGAAAGTCAAATCTATCCAGAGATCAACATGGACGGTGTACATTCCCATGAATCTTCAGCCCATCCATTTTCAAATATTCAATATGTGTTCAAAATCTACCATCTGACCATTCAATTAGTGAGTAATTGCCGCATGTGAAAGTATACTTTTCTCTAATTACTCCATTAAAGGCTCTAAGTTCTACTTTATTTGCTTTCCTCTGACCGGAAAGTTAGGACGCGCTAAAGCAGCGTGTTCATACCAAACACATAAATAGCTCTAAATGATTAAAATAAAATGAATTGAATTAACTTTGTACTTTGATACGCAACATTAACGGAAGAATGCTCAAAAGTGAGCTTTCATTCAATCTGTTATAACTCTACTTGGGTCCAAAAGTTAGCGTGGACTGTTTCCAACTTTTGTTTACACTTTCTGAGCATTCCCATACACTATCTTTCAAGGGGCAGCAGTTTGATATCATTCTGTTTATTCAAGTTTCATTCCTTGGAGCTAAAATCTTCAAATTTGTTCCTCGTACCGCGTCTGGTATTTTCAAAGTTCCTGATTGGGACACTGAGCCAGTGAAAATATCCAAAGGGAATGTGGATGATATACGTTCTCATTAGTAAACTTTAGATAATGGAAGCTGGAGTTTTTGCCAAATAACCTTTATTTTGTCACTGATTTGTGAAGAACAAATTTGCTGCGTGTTATTACTCATCCATTTGCTCGTGTTTTGGCAGTCGGTAGGAGTTAAATACATTGCCTTTCCTCATCAGTTTTGGACACGAATACACTAGTAGCGAGAGCTGACTTGTTGAAGCCCTGTCGCAATGAAAAATAACTCAGAAACGCAGTTCTGACTCTAGAATTTCAAAAACATCCCGAGCCAAAGCTAGAAAATACACTTTATGGCAGTGCCCAGGGAAATAACACCAACACAAATTAGGTACATAATACTGCCTTTTCATAGGAAGATAAAAGCATTAATTTGACTTGACCTTTTTAAATATTGTAGTCGATCAGCTGAAGAGGGAAAAAGGCGTTCACGTGTTAGTCATAGAAGACATCATGTGCATTAGAAGAGAGAAACAACAGCCATGGCTGATATACGTGGTGTTCATTAGTTTTAACAATTGAGTCTGGATATAAGTGAAGTCTTCGCAAAAGCTAAATCCACTATTGCAACAATGTGATATCCACGATGTACTACAGACTTATTGTGATCCATCCATATCCGTCGTTCTATTACTTTTGTTCAGGTTTCAGGGTGGACTCAACCACCAAACCAAAAAACGTAAGGTCTCGTCCAATGAGTCAATGAAACACAACGGTTTCACACCCACTTTTTAGGTCACACGGGGCCATCGCTACTGAAAAAACCATATGGGAGCAGAAAATGATCCCACATATATGGCCAGAAAACTCAGTATCAAAACATTCCCTGAGACCCATATATATAGTAACATCAACGCAACAACAACCTTACGTCTTGCATCTTCACATCTTCTACTTATAGATTTACTGAACCTGGAACTTCAGAGGAAATATAAGATATCAGCAACAGCCACATAATGAGCAATAATCAAAAGATTAGGATTAAACCACATGACGCTAGGTCAAATCCTTTGGTTCTCTTTGTTTTTGATTTCTGAGGATAGGTTACTGAAGTGTGGGAATGCCTTCAAAAAATGGCCATTGGATTAGAAATGCCTTTTACTTGACGTTGTCATAACCCAAGATAAACTCTGCTATTTGTACCGTGATTAAAATGCTAGAAGTAAACCGCCCCAATTAAGGGTCGGGCTGAAATTAACAGTTAAACAACCTTCAGCCATTGGAGGTAGGCACGATAAACTGAAGTTGGTACGAGGAGCCGTATTAAAACCAAATGAAATAACTGGAGAGGTCAATGTCATAGTGATGTATGCGGTTCCAGAGTGACCAGCATGTAGCTCGGACAAAGCTCTCGTAGATGATAAAAAATACGGCAGTGGTTGTAACATACTCTGACGGTATACAAGACAAACTGGTCAAACATGCAGACTATCTGATCCCCCACGCATTTAATTAATTTTTTTCACCTGATGACTGTCAAATGCACAGACTATGGTTACTTAGGAAAACTTACCAAGTCGTCGTATAACGTAAGAAGCGACCTTCTCAGCTATATCAGGTGCAATGTGAGTCATTCTCCATTTCTGAGGCAAATATAGTGTAAACGCACCAACAATATAGTATTCTCAATAGCCCTCTCACAATAAACCTTAACCCAGAGCGAGACCACAGCAGCTAAACTTATCGCACTAGGAAAAATCTTGCTTCGGTTAGTCCTATGAGAACTAGCCAATCACTCCCTACATATGGCTTTGCGAACGAACATCACCATAAAAAAACCACGCATACGGTGAATACTGGTGACTATACAATAACGTAAAGTGACTTAGAGGTAGAAAATGGGACTTAAAAACATGTATTCTCAGATGAAGCTGAAAATCTTAGTGTTAACTGAAGCCCACCTCTCTCTTATGTCACGGGCAATGGATTGAACATTCTCCAAATATGGCACGAAACATAAAATGAGAGTAAAGATTTACATCAACAGTCACTTTAAAGCTGCGATAACGCCCAACTGCAAACTAGCCAAGTTACCAAAGTGCAGCGTGTGCTACCTCAAGGCAAACAGCTCGACCGATTTGCCGAAGACAACTTGGCGCTATCACTCCGAAACTCGTTCTGACACTCGTTAAACCGTACTCAGCCTCATTACAAAGCCCACTTCCTCATTAGTTCCCTCTCTTAAAAACAGACATGCATCCTTTAGACAGAGTAGAGAAAAGGATAACCAAGTAGGCACTTGGGATACGGAACAATTTTAGACGACCACGGATACCGATACTTGTGATTATTCTCGTTGAGCTACAGGAGAAAAAATGTGATATAAAAGTGGCACTCAGTACATTAAATATGAAAAGTTACTTTACTACAAACATCCCGGCAGAAAATCATCACTACGCTCCCCGAAGCAACTCAAATGAAACACGCATGTACGCCCACGCTTTTTCTCACCAAGATTTCCTCCAATTCTGAATGTTTTTCGTGCCGGCAGATACCTGCGGGTTTTTTATAGAAAAAACCAGATTAGCGGTCGAGTGGGCCTTTATTCAGACCGTGGGATAGAACAGTTGGAGCACAAGGTTGTCTTTTTCAGACGTATAGATCGTCTTACGCAAGCTAGTCACATAGATTTTGAATAAATTAGATAACTAACGATTAACTACCAAGTTCACGGAAGTTGCTGTAACTGGGTAACCAGACTACTCACATGAAATGATATCATTGACTTGAAACCGTATATCACTATCAAGATAGGTTTTCAAATAAATCAACTGGTTTACAACTCCTCATCTCAATGATATTGGATAGTGAAATTATAACCGTCTCACTTTTGATTGGATTTGGAACGTAAGCGTTTACATGTTTCGTTAATTGTTCTTTTTGTTTCTAACTTGTGGACCATTCACCTCCAGCCATGGAAAATAGTTATTCAAGTCGCTGACCGAGTACTTACTACATAAAACCTGATGTTTTGCATTCCTTCGGACGACAATAAGTATAATCGTTTGGCGTGATCTATCTATCTATCTATCTATCTATCTATATATATATATATATATATATATATATATATATATATATATATATATATATTAGGTCACCACTCCACACATCACCGTTAACATTAAACAACTAAAATCCCATAATTCCTCAATTTTATTCGGTTATGTAAAGTATTGTTCGTTGGATAGAGTCATTTTAAGGCTAGCTTTAAATTTGACCAGCATCATGGATATGGTTTCAGTGGCTCCACTTCTCCCTTTTTCATTTATCAACCCGACTGTTACTTTAAATTACGGAGCTAGAAGTAAAAAATACACCAAAAGTAAATGCATATGTAGTGACCAGTGCTCTTCAACGACGCATGCTTCTGGGATAACAAGTGTTTTACTCTCCCAATCTTTACTAGCTTGCTTAATATTATGTGGGTTGATTGAGTATATTTCCCATTAAAAACATCCAATCAGGACTGCTTGTGTTTACACTAATTAAGCCTTGGGAAATTAGACTTAGCAACCTAATGATAGCCGTTCTTCGGGATATCTTAGTATACTAATCTAGTTTTAAGTTATACCTATGTCTGAGTAATTAGTATGCTCAGGGTTGTTGGTCAGTACAGTTGAATTTGACCTGTCTCCCGATACCTCAACATATGGTTAGGTGTGACTTTATTTAGGTACGCTACGCTGAGCACTTTCTCGTAAATGGTCTCTATGATCCAAGAGTTTCGTGCTCACTACTTTTGCTTCGCTTAGTTGACGTGATGAGGAAAAAGTTGACGGATTCTCACGAGCTAGTAAGTTTTGATTTTAAGCTATTTAACACACGTAAGCTCGAGAATTCCATCAAAATCCATGGTATATAAACCTGACTACCGTAAAAGTACAAGCTGCTTAATCGATCAGATTAGTAGAAGCTTGTTAATATTACCGTTTACATAAACACCATGTTTTAGGTCCTTATGATTTATCTCAGCCTACTCTCAAAGTATCGTTAGAAAGTAAATTTGTGACTCACATCTTAGTTTTGCCTATGTACCAATATGAACCACAGCATATTTATAGTCATCACAGGACTGTTTATACAACAAATTAATTATCTTTTCATATTTGTTTTGCAGGACACGTTTTTTTCTATTATCGTCACATAACTTTAATGAACCTTAATTTCTATTGTCATGAATATTAATCTGAATATTTGCAATGTAACTATTACTGGATTAGCATTTTTCTTTCTTTTCGCTGCATTTCAAACAGCATCCTTGACTGCAGTAAGTTGTTTTCTAGTGCGTGTAACTTAATTGCATCTTTTTCACAGCAAAATGTTTTGGAAGCTGTCTCAAAACAGCGTAACAACAGTTTTGATGGCACAGGTTACACTAGGTAAATACCATTTTATGTATAAGTATTGTTACAGCTTAGCAATTGTGTATATCTCATTTGGTTTATTCAACTGGTTTGCACCAATTGTTGTAATGTATCTGGGAGAAAAATATTCTATGATCGCTGGTTCATTTTGTTATGCGTAGGTTTTAAAAGATGATGTCATTTCCTTTCAGTTTATACATTGCTTCATATATTGAACCCTTTGAGTGGAGCCTGTATTCGGCATCTTTGGTAAATGGAATCGGTGCAGCAGGTAAACTTTTGAGTTGAAATTATCTATTAAGTGGTCTGTTTGATCCCTCTGTTTAGTGTTGTGGACAGCTCAAGGTGCATTCATTACCGATTGTTCTACCAAATCTAATTTAAATCAACATTTCAGTCTGTTCTGGGGATTATTCCAAGCTAAGTAAGCGATTTTATTCATTTTTGTGGTTATTTCCTTTTTGCAAGATAGGCGAACCTTAAAGTTGTGTTATCATTGTGTCTATGATTTCTTACGAAATTCTATCTTTTCAACTTAAACGTGTCATTGCAAACCTACTTATACTTTCAGTACTTGGCTTTCAGTTATTTAGTTCCGTGTTTGAACGGTGCTCTGTCTACTTCGAACTCGACAGGTGGGTGATACGCTTAATACTCAATCATGTACATGGTTATATGGTTCTCTTGATAAGTTTACCACTCACTTTCTAGCCTCAGGAAATATCTTTCACAGTCTGTACATGTTTTCAGTTGGATTCAGCTTTCTTTCATACCCCGATACCTTGTGAATCAACCGATTCTCCGCTTTTTCCAGACAGTCCCAGCGTCGGTAAATAATAGGTAATGTAAAATTCGCCGGCATGACATTCGTAGTACACGTCCAAACCATCGAAGACGGTGTTCCAATATGGTGACTCTAACTTCATTATCGGCACTGCCTAAATACGCGTTTCCGAACCGCCGCATTACTAATATAGTGTTTCCACTAAATGCCAGTAATCCTCGTAAGAAAAAGGTGATCGAATACAGAGAGTCATTTAACATCTTCAACTTGGAGTGGCCAGATTTCACAAGCGTAGAGCAGACTGCTTCCACTCGACCTTTAACAGACACGGTATGAGCCGTTTTGGTTTTCAGGATAAGTAAATTGGTCTTATTCCTCACGCCACCACTAACATGTCCATAGTTACATAAACATATGAACTTTTCGAATATTTTTAACGGCTTAATACCAAGAGTGTGTGTATTGACAGTCCCTCACCAGTTTTGTAAAAGTACTTAATACCTATACTCGGCACATGGTATACATACGAACAGTCATTACCAACTGATTAAATGCGGATCGCATGACTTGAGTATGATTGCATGGTAAAACAATATCGTCCAAATACTCAAGGTCAAAAGTCCTTCTCCAAGTAACAGTTCCACACCATTAGCTACTTCCATCAGAACTGTCTCCAAAATCTCATCGGTGGGAAAGAGAAATGGAAATTAAGCAACTCTGCCTAACCACCATTACTGGAATGAAGTAATGGTGATAGGTGGTTGTATTTCCTCAGCCTGCCTGAGATATCTTTACACAGAGCCTTCTCACGGATCGTTCCCTCAATATTAAGGATAAAATTTGCTACTAAGTGTTACTTTCTCTGAAAAAAATAATCTGGGTCAACCATACAATGTAGTTGCTTCTGCTAAGTCAAACTCATCAATTCCTTGTTGAAATGTTTTGGAGACTGGCTAACTAAACCCTTAAAACATCAACATTTTAATCAAAACTGGTACTCGTCACATAAGGCCTATTTCTACTTTATATTTGACAAGGCTCTGAAATATGAAGCGAAAGATATGAATATCAGTTGAAACCTTATTCCACTACATTAAGTATATCTAGCTGTAGAGGTTCACATATAATGAACGTCAAACGACTAATCGTCACCGTTATCGTGCTCTTGATGGGACGTAACTCGTGACTATGAATCAATGAGTCCTGTTTAGGTACTACTAAATTTCAATAACATACGACAGTTGATCTATGCATTTTGTTTCTAAGTGATTCTCCAGTTCATTTTAATTAAGATTGAAATTACCCAGTTCACAAGCATACTTGAATGATTATTTTGTCCTGTTGTTTGTCTAAAAATAAAATCTAATGTATACATTTTTTTTAAAAATTCAGTCAAATAGTTGGTGGTTTGTACGCTTACCTATCACTATCGAATATAGATGAAATCTCTCGCACATTACGTATTCGGCTTTATGGTGGATTGTTGGGATGTGCTATTTTTGGAATTTTATTATTATTCACACTGAGAAAGCCTCATAAAACAGACAACATTTCACACCAGCAGTTAATTAATATGGAGATGAATTCCTCTGGTGATAACTTGAGTGAATTAACTCCAGATTACTCAACGTGAGTGGATTTTTTTACATACCTCAACTAATTTCAAATATTGAGAAATCACGTGTACAATAATATAACAAATCCAAATAATATTGTTTTTAGTTAAATCGCCATCAGCATTCCCTCTAGTACATAGTAATGTGTACACGCATTTATAAAAAATATTAAACCAATGAAGGCAATTTATGGGTAATTAATAATGATAAAAAAGGTGCTTTTTATGCTTTCAACTTTTTTCCCAATGTAGGTAATTTTATTATAGGCAGGAAACTTGTTATATTTATGGATAACCTTTTCTTGTTCACCAATGTACCACTTAATTGCGAAAATTGAATTCATATTTTAGCGAATATTAGAAAAATAGATTGGTATTGGGATTTCGGAAGACATTATTTTCAAGGTGTACAATAACGATCTGTTTTATCTTTAACAGTTTTCGAATAGATGGAATAACCATTGAACCCATTTTTATGACTTATCGTAGTCGATTTCTCCCCTTAAAATGGAAAATGAACTTCAAGGGGATGCCAAGGTCTATACATCAACAATCTTCGATCAGAAAATTAGCAGAGAAACTCCTAAGGCAATTTATCAGTATACACTCAGCAATCGATTTCATTTATGAAAAACAGAGTGATACTTAGTTTCATTTTTTTAAGGCTTCCTTAATCAGACAAGTAGATGGGTCGGGAAGTATAAGTATGTATTTTTACCAGTTTCTAGTCGACCAGTGGTGGTTATTCAGCGGAATAATGAGAAACCTGGTTTCGTCACTTCGACGTATATTAATTGGTCGAACTGCTCCCTCGGAGAGAGCTGTTTCATGTATACTACCGAGCGACCTAGCCAATAATTATTCATCTCTCTTCGTTGTTTAGAAATGGTCAAATTGAGTTAACACAATTCTGTTTTATTATACTTGTTCTGTTGTAATCATATGGTAGATGTAACCATACCTTTCAAAACGACTTATCAAGCTCCTTTAAATTTTCTCAGTTCGATTCAATTTCATCTCTTATATAAGGGAAAAGCTTTTGGGCTTCTAACTGACAGCTTTAGTTTTTGTATTCAAAAATAGTTTCTCATGCCTTAGATTCTTCCGTGATCACATAAAACTTAATAGGTGATCGTGCTAGGTTTCTTTCCAGTCCTCTCATATATCCCGTTTACTATTCGCATATTTAAACGACAATTCACAGATGTTGTATTTCGTTACATCTAATGATTATTATTTCAATAATTTTACTTTTTCAAGTTTTCATTCCCTATGTCGAGATATTTATTATGCTTATTTTTGTAATTACGTCATTTTTCCAAGTGAGATTTTGTAAGGCAAGTAAAGTTACAGACATTTATCTGAAGCTATAACTGTCAGTGAATAATGTATTCTGTGATGCTACCTCTCACCTATTCAGTTTGCCACTTTTTCCTTGCAATGCATTATTGTAATTGAAAATCCGTCAGTCATACAGGGTCTGAACCTAAGTCTTCATTCTTGCAGCCATCTACTACTCATCCTCTAAACATTGCAAATGTCTTAATAGAAGATAGTATTCTAATCTTTCTTTCTCAATTAAATGACCGATTAATCCCAAAGTGTAGTTTAACTCCGAGTACGTTGAATTCTCATACGTTTTCACAGGGCAGTTGTTAGTTCTGCTAGTATAAAGTAAAATACACTAAATTAGAATTATTCAGTGAAGGAAAAGTTTTAAATCAAATTTCTTGTCAATTAATCCTCGGTGACTTTTCTGGAATTCATAGTTAACGGACGTTAATAGAAAATATCCAGAAGACTAAAGGAAATCAGTAGTCAAGATCCATATACTAATCCTCTTAAACCTCCTAAATTCCATAAAGTATAAACTATCATTACGTTTTAAGATCTTCGTTATTTTACCGTCATTTTTCAGTTCATTAACTGTTTCCTCTTTCTTTATTTGTTACACTATGAGGTAAAAAATCGTTATGGCCGGTACATGGTTCATTTGATGCGGTTGTCAATCTGTATTTAATAAATCTCGTATTCTCGTATGTAGTTGGTAAAATAAACCGATATGTTCACTTAATTTTTCATACATCGGTTTTTAGTGTCAGTTCACATTATTACTTTTGATGCAGTAGTAAAATATATTGCGAGATTGGTAGTAAATTACAGTGGGCGAGTTTTAGTCTTTTATTTCATTAAAGAAAACCGTTACTATTAATTATCATTATTATTTAACTAATTGTGATATCGAGTTATATCTGTGCATTGAACACAATGTTATACCTCTACACGTTGGTAAGACTATCATCAGATGGGTAAAATTTGATAAATGTGATCGGTTTTTATTTTCTATCTAATAAATCCACGGAGTAAAATGAATTTATTTTTCATCTCACGGATTTTCAATACTCAGCTACACACAGTCTTGTTAAATGTATTTACTAAATCTTCATTATCATTACTGTTTTTTCCACTCTGAAACTAATTAAAATGTTAAAAGTCCATATTTCTAAATCTTTTCTCACTCATAGAATTCAAAATCGTTCGACAGTTTTTCAGTCGACTTTACACTCTTTACGTAAGTTTTATTCTGTTTTAACATGATTCAATAGTTAACTCGTTTTTTGTCGTATAAAAGTTATTAATCGAAAAGTGTAATAAACTAAGACTATTAAGATGCAATTTCTCAGCTTGCATGGTCAAACATTGAAGTCACTTTCTGTCGGTTGAGGTTCGCGCGATGATCAGTTTCCATTATCTGATACCTTCGTTTACATGCTTCAACATGGGTGGCAGTGCCGCGGTCGCATCCATCCTTTATCTTCCCTTTAATTTCAGATGTTAATACTGATAATTTTCAGCCCTTTATTTCATATATTGTTTTCGAATTACATTATCTACTTTTGATTTTAAATACCACACCCTTGTGGTATCTCATTTTAATTCATTCCCACTAAACTGACGTCAAGTTTAATATGGATTCGTTGTAGTTTTTACGTTGCATTTTACCAGCTGAATGACTAGGGACAATCTTAGTAAACATTTTATTTATATAGGTAACCAAATCATATGATTATATTTTAAATAATGTTTGGACTCAAAATAGCAGCCTTCTCACTCTTGATATAGTATTTTGTTAACTGAATGAATATGATAATAAAGTCTAACTTGACAATAAGCTAACAGTTATTCATGCACAACTTAGCGTTTGACACAATTTTACATCTTCCTACGTTGTCAAACTTCACACCAGCATAATGAAGGGGAATTAACATGATGAAAAACGAAGAAGTAGAAATAACAATATCTATGATAGTTAGAAGTGAGACCAAAGAATACACTTCTAAAACAATGAATAAAACAAATAAATGAAAATTTTCAAGCGGTATTAAATTTTATGCCACTGCCACCAATTCCAGTCGGTGTTACGTGGTCTTCATCGATAGATTACGGTTACTGCAACATATCTCAACCATGTAGTCTGAATCTCCTGACTCAATTCATTTTAACAGCTAACGATTAATAACATGTCTTATTCGAACCACGTTTAGCCAACTTTCAGTCTAGTCTGATACTAACCATTATTGCGTCGAGTTACGAACTGGCTGAGCTTACTTGATATATATACCCTAACCACTACAATCAGAAAAGGTTTACAACTTTATCTACCAACATGGTAACCTGTGTTTAGCCTCTGCACTATTCAATCAGTGGTGGTTCTGCTACATCAAAAATGTTTCTAAGGTATTTGTCGCCAAATGCTCACAGTTAATATACATATGTCCTCAACCTTCAAAGACCATTTTTCCAACTATGAAATGTTAAACAAACTTTTATGCATGGAGTATTTGTGAGACGAACTGATCTATCAACCTGTTATGTGTGCGGCAGATATTACCACAGTATTCATATGTTCTAACATCTAGAAAAATTAATTCTGTAATGCATATTATTGAACAAGTTGTAGATTAGCTAGACCTCAGTAACCAATATTAGTGTCTCACCTACCATAAATTTAATCAAGCCTATATAAGTCCCATGTTTTCTGTTCAATAAGTACCCTATAATGTATAAATTGATTAATTTCACTATCTTTGACTTATTTTCAATATAAGAACTTGGTGCTAATTGCGCAATTGATATATGATAAGGCTATTTGGAATATCTCATATTTCTGTAGTATTATCGTATAAAAGACCAATGAAAATTTGTTTGTAAATTATATTCAGGATTATCTACATCAAGGAAAGTAATGCTCATAAAACTCAGAACCGGAATACGATGAATTGATATTTGTTCCAACCGAAATTCGATAATCAGATCAGTATATTCCAAATACTATTTTTAAACTGTGATACTATGTAAACAAATGAGCGAGACTATAATTTATGAACGAACCAATCAAATATAAAATCACGTCTTGAATTTTGCCGCGAAATTCACCCATTCATTTGGCTAAATAGAGTTTTGGCAATATAGCTGATGTCAGTTTGTAATGAAAACCCTAGATCTAATACCTAACCTCAACCATCAACTGTAAATCATAATTCTAATTCCCCACACTGGTTTATAACCCTCTTTTGGTCCTAGTTATTAGACAGACACTCAAGGTCAGTTTAGCGTAGCTTAAACGCCGTCCATAAATTATGGTCTCACCGTTAACTGGAATTAAATAACGTTTTTCGACTTTAACACTCCATGTTAGTACAATCTTCGGATGTACCATTCAGACTCTCATATAATTCGAAAGAATCACCATCGACTGGGCAACAGCCAAAGAAAACAGACTGGAGAAAACAACACAAATTAATAGCTGTTAACAAGCAATTTGCAACACAACAAAATAATCAATTCTTATTAATTGCTTTCTGGACCACTTGTCAGTGATTAGAACAAATAATCATTGAAAAAAAGAAAGTTAGAAACGTCGAAACTCTCAATGGGTCATTGGGACAAAAAGGCACAAGTGAAAAGAGTGAAATAGCCGTAAAGCACGATGTGTTTGTAAGTTATAATATTGATACATATCTACTTAAATCAACTAATAATTAGGCAAAATATATCCAAAACCAGCCATTCCTAAACATTTCAAGCTTTGAGTTTTTGCTCTACAATAACAATACTTAAACTTGTGGTTCGCCTAGTTTCTCAAATGTCAAGTTCATAATTTTCTTTGTGCCCGTCCAATTCAAGTGAGGAATTTAAATCCATGAAAATCTAGTACATAATGTAGTAACCAGGGTTTTGAATCTATCTTTATGACGAAATATTTTCATTACCTTCATTAAATTTACGTTCTTAACCTTTCTCCCACTATACACATGTATATGCTACTCTAGGTAGGTCGGTTAAAATTCTAATCACAAGACCAATGATTTGCATTCTGGTGGCAGCAGCATTTACTGGTAAGTTGGAATAAAATTAATACCTTAATTGTTAACTAAATTTTTCTTGTTTCATATTTTTGTGCATTACCGCCTGTTACTTACTATTTGTAAGTATCTGAAAACGTTTTTAAAACCTTTTTAAGCTTTGGAAATTTCTCTGCCAGTCTACGTGTTTGTCTTCCTATTTAGATCTGTTGGTTCGTCCTTCCATTTACAATTGAATATCTTGATTCCCTTCATTAAATGTGTATGATTCTTTTATGTTTTGGAACATAGCCCTTAATCCCTTTTTGTTAATTGTTAATATTTATGTCTAACACAACTCCCTCACATTTCCTGATTCCTAGTTGCTCTTTCTTTTTAAATTTGATATTTGAAATGTTATTACCACTTGATTACCTCAAAAATGAATTATTCCACCTTTAAATAAACGTCATTCTTGTGGTTTGAGGATTTTTAAAGGTAACACGCCTATATTTATTCGATGTTCATCATCGATTATGTGATCAGAAATTACAATATTCACGAATTCTGTGTATAAGAATTTTTCAGATATTGAAATACTTCAAACGTACACTCAACAAAACAGCAAGTAGTGAATGATAAGTGTATACATGTACTCGTTATGTTATGTTAGGAATTACTTAAAACAATCATCGATACTTTATAAGATGGTGTAAGCAGAGAGATTTTATTGCACTGAACCAAAGACAATCTTTCCAGTCAACTCTGTAATCATATATATTTAATGTGAATATCTGAATTACTCAAACTGGTTAATTCTATAAGTGTTATATAACTTTGGATATTAACTTACGGCTGTATTTTGTTTTTGTAGGATTATAATGGTTCGGTGTATTAGCAAGTTTTAAATGTTAATTTTTCTTTCTTGGTAACATAACGTGATCTTCTGCGTTTTAAATTCATCGGTTGTGTAGGCTTCTAACCATACTGTTTATCGTTTTTGTTTAAACTCACATTGCATACGATTAAGCGTTTGAATATTTCCTTGACACTTTTATTTTCTAATTTAGGCTGAAGAGGTTTTCCAGTTACTTTTCCTGTCCCCACTTCAATAAGAATACATCTGCGCCTTGGATAGTTTGTGAGCAAAATCTAGAAAGTATTTCAGAAAGATCAACAAATTTTAGTCGACCATATCCAATAGAAGCTAATGACATTCCGATATGTTCCTGTTGTTGTATTATTTTAGTTAATCACTAGTTCAAAATGTTTATAACGCCAGAATACACAGAGTGAAATCTCTTTAGATGACAACAAAAAGACTATGGAGGCCCATTTTGGGCCCTACGTGATTCTTTATACCTGTACATCTATAACTCCTGTCACTCTGTAGCTATGTCTAATATTTGGTTAACAGTCAGACAATTGTTAACAACATTCCTAGTTCACTACATCTAGTTTAAACGTACTAAGTGCGGAAACAGATAACACCCAAGTTATTCTCGTATTGCATCGTACACGTTAATATTTCATAGTCATGTGACTTAGGAATTAATCAGGATTTCTTTTGAAAACCACCTAACCAACGGTCACAATTTACGGTTTCTAATAAAATGCATATTACGAGCTAACGAATCGTACTACTAAACAACCATAGTAACCCTAACACTGGCTATATTGATTTACCAGTTTCACTTACCAAATCAGAGTGGTTGATATCCTTGACGCTTATTCCTCTTGTACGAAGTCTCCACTATAAATAAACTTAACAATGACACATAATTAAATTATGAATACCCGATATCTGGATGTTTCACGTATGATATTATTGCTCTTCCAGGATTGCGTAAACTAATGATTTCAATTGTATGAATTTCACTCATCTATTCTTACTTGACCAGTCGTTGTGTAAGGATGTGCTGAGGCATTACTGATTCTTAATACTTTATGCGCCTTTAGTACCTTAGTTCAGCCTTCCTCCTCTGCAGTCACTCTGTGATTACTTACCTGTCATTATTTCCTGAAACATTATGGGGTTATCAGTGGTTTTTAGGTTGGTTTATAAATTTTTCTTTATTTGTATCTTGTCCTATCAACAACCTTATAAGTTCGTAATAGCACCATAGTGAAATCACCAAACTAGGTGTCATTATTAGTAGAAACACGATATTAAATTCGGCTTCACACCATCTCCCATGTAGTCGAATCAAATTTCGTGAAGCGCCGTTAATAGTTGAAGGAATTCACATCGATGGGCTTCTTTAATAAAATGTTTTTATCAAGTGCGTAAGTTTCTTGTTCAACTGTCGACTTTTGTATTTATCAATTAAAGCAAACATTTAGTTATTGTTTGCCACTTGACAAATCAAAATATTGTGTTTTTAGGAGAGAATTTATCATGCAGAGAATTAACTTAATAACCAAATGAAAATTCTGAGAAACGTTTAACATAATACAGTTGTAGCATTCCGGCCAAATATTCTAGGACTTTAGGATCAAACGCAGATGAATTTCAACCATGTTGGGAGTAAGTTATTCGAATAGTAGTAAACACAGTGAATTAACTCAAGTTGAAACTATAGAGTTGGTTTCCGATTCAGTGATTTAAAAATGACTCACTCTCTGTGAAACTCCAAGGTTCTGAATTTGATATCCGTCAGGATCATGAGTATACATTCATTGCTGAATAGGGAATCTTCTCCAGTCACCTACTGCATGAAAGCAAGACTAAAGGATAGAATAGTTGTAAAAGTATAGTCTTTGAAAGATTTTCATAGGCCAACTTCTAAAACCATATGTTACTACACCATCACCTTTATGTCTTCAGCTTGATTGTATTCACAACTGAAATCTAGCCATCAACCGACATTCCCTCTGAGATGTTTTGCCAATATTCTACGGTCAACATTAAAAATGTAATTAAAGATGCCTATTTAGCATTTTTCCCTTAAAATAACTTCAATTTATCGTACCATAATCTGAAATTATTTTAGGTATTAATTTGACGTTCTATTCAAGTCTATATGCTTCTGCGTTAGGACATTGTTTACATTTCGGTAGAAATGCAAAGTCTTATATTGGATTAGCTGGCCTGTTTATTGGGATTGGAGAAATTGTCGGTAAGTAATCTCACTTATTTTATTTTATACAAAGTAATTCTCTTTATAAACCTAAATAATATATGAACAATAATTAAAGCAGAATTAATATCAGTTCTTTATATTTTATAGATTCTCTTCAACAGCTTACAACATATTGATCAAATAGAGAAATAGCATGATATAATTTAACGCGAGTAAAAGTGATATGAAAAATGTAAAAGATTATGATTTATATAGAGTTAACAAATTAGTGTAAAATAGTTGGAATCATTTACATCGAATTTTAACCGTTGCATCAATTAAAGGTAACATAATAAGCCCAACAATATATTCTTAGTAACAAATAATTAAATAAAACTAAAATGAAATAAATTATATCGATAAAAATAAAGTTATGAATAGTTAAAGAGAATCTACGTAATTTTAACAAACCATATTGTTATGCGTCAATTATAAAATATGTTGTAGTTTGTATGTCTATTTATTATTTTGATTGAAAGTCAACCTATCAGGCTTATAATCAACTTCACCATTAATTAATACAGTTTAAGAATGTTGTCGTATTTCTTTTATCTACATTATATTAGTGGCATTAATGAAAAATTCATTTATCCTGACAAAAGTTTTATTCACTGTGTGAATGACTAACTGTAATGTAATATGTTTGTACTGTTAAGTTTATTCCGTTTGTCTTACATTTATTCCAGGTTTTCCATGGTGGTCTAGCTTCAATTGACTCATGATCTCAAATAATGAAATTGCTATAAAATCCACAAAAACCCTTCTGATACTAGTTAGCATATGCTCGCTAGTGACTGGTTTCAAGAGGTATTTCCTGGAGTCCTAGTGAAAAGCAGTGACCAGTGGAGTGAGTGAGATAATAACTCACTGAAGACAATGGTGGATGTGTTGCTCAATTTCGTAGATTAGTTGAAGTTAGGCATTAACACCATTAGATGCCAGCTCAGTGGTCTAGAGGTTAAGCGTTCGCGCGCGGGACTGATAGGTCCTGCGTTGGAATCTCGCGGGGCGGGGTCGTGGATACGCACTGATGAGGAGTCTCACAATAGGACGAAACGGCCGTCCAGTGCTTCCACGTTTTCCATGGTGGTCTAGTTGCAACTGACCCATGATCTCAACTATTGAAATCACATTTATTTGTTAATAAAATTGGTTCTGATTACAAACAAAGCATAAACAAAAAACATTTTTTTAAAAATATATCCTTAATGTAAAATCCCAAAATAATTCAATCCTTATAATTTTATTATCTTTGTTAACACTGTCAACATTATTCTCCATTGTATTGTTTTATAAGGGAGGGGGAAATAGATTTGTGAATTACGGCACAATATGTATTTACACTGTCTAAATGTACGCTATTTTATAAAACTGTAGCCGAAGCTAGAATTCTTGAATCGAACTGCTTATGAAAACTCAAACTTGGCTTTTTAAAATCCACCAATTCCTCTTCTTCTTAATGTCATATTTAATTACTCTTTAAATCTTCATCTATTTCCTACGACATCACTATCACTAGTGGCATATATATATATATATATATATATATATATATATATATATATTCTCTACGACTTATTGCTTCTTGATTATTTGGAGAGGGCTTAGAGTCATAATAAAATACGAGGTAGTACTAATCTTGAGTATACTAGGTTATGCTGTTGAGTCACGTCACGATCACATTGTATATCATATGAACTTGACATGTAAGTAACTCAGTCATACGATAATTGATTTATAACGACCAAGAATAGCGCAAACTCTTACTCATATTAATTGTTAGACGCAGCACATTTACACCATTGGTTTGAGATCAGGGTTTTCCGATTCTCCTAGATAAACTCTTCATATCCATCAACTCTACTTAAGGACTGGACGTCTGCTTCTCATGCTACCACTTTCTCGAACACGCCCCTAATGTGAAGATAGTGAGTAGGACTTCTGTAAATGCTATGAATGAGTGACCACATGGGGATTTCGAGAGGAAAACAGTCACTCCTTAGCTTCAATCATACAAGGACATTTGTGGGCTATATTCACTGCGGAATTTGAGCTTGATACCGAAGGCACTTAATTGTAAATAACTTGGTTATGAATTAATACTTCACCTTCCCTGTATTTATTATTGTTCATGAGTAAATCCAGCCTAAAAATCTTGATTGGCTACTTCATATATTGAATCAATTATATATATCCGTCATCTACAACGTAAGACCAGGCACATATATGTGTATGTAATTTTAATCTCATGGTTTAAGTGAAGACAAAGTGTGTATACACCTACGCCATTGTGATCGATTTTGAACCATATCACCCAGAGTCTCCAACCACTGGTTACGACAGTCGGGCTGACCCCAATCAAGTAATCTGCATCTACTAACATGGCTCAGACTAGAAGTTAGTGACTTTGCAGACTGACGCTACGTTTTCGCTTGGTCGCCCGGAACTTTCTTCCGTCGATCTTCAACACTAGTCAGTACTGCCAATTATATATATAATTGTCGTATTTTGAAATAGTAATAAAAAACTTTATTTATATCATTGATTGCAGGTAGTTTCTCTTCACATTTAACTCGGTGGATTCGTTTAGAAGGAGTTCTAGTTATTTTTGGTTACATCAGTGCAATTGTAGCTGGCTATTTCACTTTCATGATGTTACCGACAAACAGTTCTATAAAAGATACGGATGATCTGTCTTATATTACTCCTAAGCAAGTTCAAATTAAATTCACTATAGTTTTTTCTTGTCTTTTGTAAGTTAATCCTCTTTACCAACTGACTACCAGATGAAGACCAGTGAGATTTTAATTGACTGAATTCTTTAATTAATCAATGCAATTTCATCGCTGAGCTAAATAAAAATGACGTAGCCGTTTACGTTGTTTCGGTTTGAATTTGTGTCAGAAATGTTCAGAAAGTAGTCGGTTTGTACTTCATGCTCAAGCTCATTAATATCTGTTTGTAGCATTGAGAAAATCTCTTTTCATCGTAGTATCTTTGATTTTGGCGTCAGTGTGACATTAAGATTATTTCTCTGCTCAAAATTCTTACCACCAGAAGCTAATTATAAAAATGACAATGAAAAGCATCTACACACCTTGTTCACAATAATGTTCGCTTGTGATGATGCAACATAATGGAAATTACGATATTACGTATCGAATACAAAAGTTCATTTATCAGTTGGTGTTTCGAGACTTTATCGAATGTGCTACACGTGTGCGACTTCCATCTATCTTAGTGTTTTATGTCACTTAGTGCAAGTATTACGTGGTTAGACGTCATTTTTTCAAATCATTTACTGCCAGACCAAAGATACAAGTTTCTTGGTTGAGTCGTACAGAACCATAGTGACATAGTTCATATTCCATTCATTCGTAAACTTTTTCTGAATTTTGAAAAATAACACTATTTCACATTTCATTTTCCGATTTCATCCATTTCTTGTAACCATAATTTCCATCTACCACTGGGTCAATTCTTTTACTTTTTGAGTTCCATTACTCTCCTAACTGATTATGTAATTCAGATTTCCTTTTATTCTACTTGGAATAAGACGACGACATAATATATCAGTTATTTCAGGCTGTCACAGTAAAATTCAGATTGTGGTATTGAATCTCTGTCAAATATTTGTCGTAAGACTATTTTCCACATAGTAAATCGTTAGTGAGTAGTTCGTGTATTCTACAACGTGCAGTTAGCCATAATGAAACATTATGGAATCAGGTGATGACGTCCTCTTATATATTCGGTGCATATCTTGTTTTTAACATAATCCAGTCGAATTTTGACGTAGAAATAGTTAACTTGTTCATATCTTTTTATCAGTGTCTATTTGGCTATGCTCATAGCATTTTTGTTTGGTGGTGTGGATTCCGTGTGGAACACACAAATTTCTACTTTAATTGGTTTCATTTATGGTGAACATGGAAGGGATGTTACAGTTGGGTTTGCTTTATTCAAATCTGTTCAAGTGAGTATATATGTACATACTTTTGTCTAACTATTAAGGCTATAAAATACATAATTTATTCCTTATTCTTATAACTTTTTCCCCTGTCAATTATCAAGTGACAAAATCATCTATCAGAATGCCGACTTATATGACCTTGTTCTTGTGCTAAACCAGTGGCACGTCAACCAGCACTAACAGCCTTGCGTCAATTCTGAATCCTTATTAGTCCTTCTCGCTCAGCCCTCCCCGTTGAGTTCAGAACGCAACCTCAGTCTCCACTGTATGAATAATATGTTTGAAACATACGTAATTTATACATAAGTAAACCGTATAAATAGCAACGATACAAGATGAAGCCAAAAGTGACTGTGAGTGTGAGAGACTGTAACTAATATATTGGGAATAACTTGGGAATATAAATCGTATAATAGTAGCCAAGAAATCAAATGAAAACTTATAATAAGAGTAATATAAATTGTATATAATCTAGTTACTTAGTAGTTATGTTATAAGAATATATATAACAGTCCACAAATAGTCCCCGATAGTTACCCATAATACAATCTTCTTCCAATACAACACTCATTGTAGCGTAGTATACCTGTAATTTGGTTAGCCATGTAAGTGGTGCCTGGTTGTCTACGTATTTTGTCGTGTGACCACACTGTATTGTTTTTCCTTGGCATTACCCTTTCACCATTATGTTTAACTTGCAAACAAGGATAACTTGAGAACTAGGTGTATTCCAGGACAAATGTTTACATAAAAGCTGCATATTGGACCTTTTGAATTCGCCTATCAGCGCTAGTTGTTCGGAAATGGATCAGTCATCATACTCTGAACACTAGTACCAAGAATGCAAGTCACTTCGTTAGAGGTCAATCTATAGTGTAATTCTTTACTGCGTGCACAATGCAGTTCACGCTCGATTTTATTAGAATATCGTAAACTTTAGTTATTTCTAACTTGACTAACATACGTTAGATTATAACCATACACATCGTGTAAACTACTGCTCAATGCTTCCTTTAAATAATAGGCAGTATGAACATTTAGTCCTACTAAGGATTCGCTAGTTAGGTTTACTCAAGAGCCTACTAAGTTAAAATGATCAGTTCGCAACAGATGTTGCTGATTCATAAGTCATTAACAGTTTACTTGTTAATTACTGATGATTAAACTCTAATGTAAACAAGAATCAACCCCTTCTGACAATCTGAAGGTAATATAGGATCTGTACAATTTTTCTTCTTACTCATCCAAAACCTATATATATATATATATATATATATATATATATATATATATATATATATATATATAAAATGTTTAATACTTTTTATTTTATACTGTTTCTTTTTAGTCTATCGTATCGGGAATTGCTTTTGTCTATAGCACTTACCTACTATTACACTGGCAAATACTCATTTTTGTTGTAATGGCTACTAGTGGTTTGTATTGCCTACTCAGTGTCTATTGGTCACATCTATCTCGCTCAGTAAATTTGATCGCCTAGACTGAACGAGCTTCTCCATGCTAATGTAACAAAACATTAACACCTCAGTGCTCAATATAAAGTTAACTGTGATTACTCTTGAAAACCATCTTGTCGTTATTACTTATCCTTTTCTAAATTGACAATGTTGAAGAATTGTTTGCATAGGAAATTGGCTTTTGTGCACATTTTCTTTCCTATGTTTTTTTTATTTATTCAGTTTGTTCTCAACTATCGATGAATTTTATTGCAATCACGATTAAAAATCATTACGACTTAGTGTGTGTAATTCGTCTCAATGATGGGAGTGTGATCTGCGTACTTACTTATTTCTTTGACAAGTAATACACTGACAAATTTTCTTCAAGTAAAAGTGCCACTGTGGCACTAACTGAAATATCATCCTCTTTTTTAGAATTAAGAATCACATGAAGGAAGAGTTTAAAACCATAAGTATTCATGAAATCCCTATTCCTTAGTAAAGAATAATTCAAAAGAAATTCGTTTATGAAAAATGTGAACAAATTGTAAAGTTCGCAATCTGTAAACATTAGCATGCAAACATGCACTGGATATTTTGAGACTATTTAGTCAAAAATATTAAAGAAGTCTTAAATGATAACAATCAGAATTATTGGCTTTGGACCCTCGTACTGTGTTTCATTCGTTAGGAAAATTATTCGAATCGCGTTTAACAGAATGTAAATTTGTAACCCACTAACCAAAGTTGAACGGCTAAATTAATGAACAAAAAACTCCATGTGTTATGTTTGTAGTATTACTGCGTCATTTGAGCATTGAACCAAGAAGATTCTTTTAAGTTATAATCAAGATAAGATCTAAACATTCAGATTCTCCAAAACTAATGGAGTCCAAATGCCTAGAATATCACACACAGCTACACTATTTTACGATGAAGCAAAAGTAATTTATATCCGTTTTGTGGATTAGATGAATATTCCAAGATGCTAGTGTTGATTTAAAGCTATAAAAAAGAAATTAGATTTACATAAACCATTACATTCTATACGATCGTGCTTGCGTTCACAGACAAGACAATATTTCACATGCCGTGATGGGTGATTGAATATGTTTTTCTACTTGTGTTGACCACGGTCAATGACAACATAGACGGAACTAGTTAGGAAGCACCGTCTAAACTTACAAAACCCATATCTCAAGAGTTATGTTTTAACCACATATTTATGTTCACTTTTACACGGAATATATTACATTTCAAAGTTTGTTTGGTTGAAAGCTTTTTTTTCTTTTGACATCTGCCCATTTAGGAGTTCTCATCAATATTCGTACATTCTCAAGCAACAACCATTCAACTACTTTACACCTCATCTAAACAATCTATCACGTCTTGTCCTCTATGTTAATGTTACTGTCTATAATACTTTTCTATTTGAGGTATGTAAGATTATGCAAACTTATTCAGAATTAGGATATTCATTCAGTTGTACTAACTGGATTTAAATTTTCTCAACTGACAGAATTCTGAGCCAGTAATAAGCTAGGATTGGTCACTTAACTCAACATTTGAGAGGATGTATCGAATAAGTAAAACTGGGTCACCGGTAGATTTCGCGTCATTCCCAACCATTATTTACAACTGTTGCAACCAGGAAATTTGCACCTTGCGATATTGCTCGAACAACTTGTTAGTGACTTTGTGGACCGGTGTCACACACTGGTATTTTTCCAGCCTACTCTTGCGTCAGCCAACAATACACACCGAGGCAGAAAGTCCTTAGGTAACGGTAACATTTATCGACTACCTTAACCGATAAAAATTCATAGTATCAAGCCGACATTGCTTTGCACACACCAATAAAATACTTGAAACTTACATATGTCCTTTACTTTCATGGGCTGTTTTAGTGCTTCATTTTGTTATTTTCCTTATCAAATATATTTATTTCATCCGAGTCCAAGTCGATGAGTGAATCTCTTGGTATGAGATCAATCACTGAGAAGTTAGAAAGCATTATTTCTAGAAAGATACGTGACGAAACTATGTGAGAATTTAGTTAGTGGGTAGCCCTGACGAATTTCACTGTAGGTTGCCAATCCACGCGATGGCTCGCCATAAGATTTAATCCGACCACTGATTACCGAGTAAAGGACCTTCCTAAAGTTTATATGCTTCGGTACACATTGAACGATAAACACTGCCACCAGTCCTGACGACCACCTGAGGTAGTTGAACCAACAGTTCGAGAGATACGTTTACGGTGATGCATCAATAAGTATATTTACACTTCGAAAGTAAAATGGATATCTTTTTTACAAATCCCTCCTTAAGTCTTACAACTGCTTGGCATCCCCAGTTTGTATACTTACCAGCACCAATAGTGTCGGGTAGTGAGTGCTAATATTTTAGAATATTAGTCAGACTGATTTATATACGGTTATTAGTCTTTTACAAAAACAAGGATGCTAAGTGTTCATACCCAGCATGACGGAATTGTCTTCAGCTATCAGACTTAGCTGGCATCTCAGCCAGCCTTACTACTAAAACAACTACCATTCTTTAATCTTAGTCTTTCACTAGTCTAAACAGTTATCAGATGTCAACGATGCCCCTGTGCCTTTCGATAAATTTCACTACTGATTATTACGTGGACTAAGTCCATTTTTACGTTCCCTCTTGTTGTTAAAGCTCGTTGGGGTAGATTTCTGAGCATCTACAAGTTTAGTAGTCTTTTATGATTGCTATAGACCAATGTATATCAGAATGAACATGGCCGACCAAGTACTTAGATAACGCATACTTTTGATCTTCGAATTAAGATCAAAGGTCTTGTTTTTTTATGAGTTTAGTAAGGCCCATATGAACGCGTACTGGCACAGACAGTCTAACATGTGCTCCAGAAAGAGCAGCAATTTTCAAAGATGGGTGATAGCAATATGGTCTATGTAAGTTGATATTTGTAACGTTGGTGCTTGCCAAAAACAAATCGTTTGTGCAATCGTATCTTGACGACAAATATGGTAATGAACTACGATAATAACAACGGTTGATTGGTGTATAAGCTAACTTTACAACAACCGGATAAATCACTGGATACATAACAACGTAAGTCATCAACGGAAATCGATACCCACTGATAACTTTGTCTCATGTCACAGTACCTCACGTTTGTTATGAGCACAGCGTGATGCCAGGAAATTACGTACATTATCGTTATCATTTCAGTGTTTCTGCTACATCACATTTGTATTCCGCTGCGTTTGAGATTGCATAAAAAACTCTGGTAATTAATGCCCACTAATGTGTTTTGTAACGAAGACCATCAAACTAGTAATTCTTATTTGCAAATTACATTGAAGCCTGATTATGGTCTTGGAAGTTATATACAAGAATGAATATCGACAAAGTGTATCCGGAGTAATAATTTTGTAAGATATGGTCTACTGGCCCGAACATGTTATGTACCTCTAGTACCAAAAATGTCTTATTTTGTTAGATGATGTTAGAGGCAATGTATTATGATGACAATTTTCCAGACTTCAATCAATATATGCACTAGATAATGTTCAATAACACGTTTTAAAATCCTTATAGAAACACCATAAGTTAGTAGTACTGGAGAGTGCCTGTTATAATGCTCGGTTTGCTTCGTGTTTACGAATGGGATGTTAATTTGCCTGAGACAAATATCACACTAGGTACCCTCCCAGTGTCTATTCTGCAGGACTTCAATACAACTCAGATCAAGAAGACGTGACTAGCCTTACTAGAACGTAAATATATTTCTACACCAAAAACTAGTCAATAATAATACGGACAGGAGAATATATAACTTATCTAACACCTGTCAGACTATCTACAAGTCTGACTAAGCAAACAACAAATCAATACCATCCTTACCCACACGTCAGTGCCATTACACGACATCTTCCGGACAGACATTTCTTGGTAGCTTAGCATTTAGTTCTTGACTTGCCCCATAATTTCCAACTTTAATATTCTGTCATATACTGTATCTTAGAACACATATCTATTGTCATTTTCTCAGAGGCATGTTCTCAGAAGCAACATCTGACCTTCTTAGTGTTTAGATCCCATATCCTCTTTGGTGAAAATGGACGGGAAAGGGCTAAGTAAGACGAAGATAGAACATGACAAGTCAGTGAAACTGATAATTAACTCTCTGAACTATGCTGACGGACAGATTTCTTACTCAGGGTTTATGAGATAGTATTCTATGGTTGAAAAAACTTGAGTGATGTGGTTTCAAACTTGCAGTCATGACCCAAATCCATAATTTAAGTAATAAGTTGACAGACATCAATAAAATAAGCCATCCAGCTCATTGATGGGTTGTTACCTGATCATGTAGATCTCACTTTCAAATATCTACAACTCTGACACCTTTATATATAAAAATAAAAGGTCAACTGGACCAGAAATGGAGATATTAGCAAACTAGAGTGGAGAATAAATTCAAACCTAGTAAAACTGCTGTACATGATTATTACTGACAAAGAGGAACTCGATGTTCTAAAACCAATCGGCTCTGAGTATCCTCATTTACATGGATTACCTGAAATTCACAAATCGAGCATTCCTTTACGCCCAATCTTATTAATGTGTCGATCACCTACACATAACCTAACTAAATGGTTGACAAAATTGTTGGATCCCATCCGAAGACGTTTATTTAAGTATTCTGTGGAGGATTCTTTTGAATTGGTCGATAATTTATGTGATATTAGTATCAATGGGGAGAAAATGTGTTTATTTGACATGAATTCCTTGCTCACAAATGTACCTCTGAAAAAGACTATTGATATATTATTGATTATTGATATATTATTATCTTTGAACAACCTTAAATTACTATCACGTACTGAAGAAGTCCAGTTCACATTTAAGGGTTGCTATGGATAGTCTGTTAGGACCATTATCAGCAGATGTGTTCATGGCACATGTTGCAAATCTAGCTGAAGCCCTAATCGAAAATATTTCCCTTTGTAAGAGATATCAGAATGATATCTTAGTTATCTGTGAAAGAAAGGACGATATGAATTGTTTATTAAGTGGACTTAACACTCCAAAACCACACTAGTCTTTCATGTGAAAAGGAGAAGGACCACCTCCCCTTAGATATATTTAGAAGTAGACGAGATGGTTCAATCAAATGATCCACTTTTAGAAAACAAACTTAAGTAGATGGAAAGGTTATGGTATAGTGAGGCCTACTAGTCTTGGTAGAAAGAAGCCTGTCTACATCATCTTACCGTTTAGAGGTGACTCAAATAGCTCC